AAAAAAAAAAAAAAAAAAAAGCACAGCAGGAATGTACAGGTCTGTCTGTGACTGTGACCTCAACTAGAGGAAGCCACAACTTTGTCATAGTGTTGAAGATGACCTTGGTCATGTTCATCATCTAATGCAGACCTTGTGAATGAGGACAAACCAAATTGTTTGCAAACAGAAGTGCTTGTGAACCAAGGCATTGCTCTATAAAATACACATCGGATTTGGAGGATTTAATACAAAAATTTTATATTACATATTGAAATAATAATAGTTTAAAATGTACTTGGTTAAGTCAAATGTATTATTAAAATTAATATATTTCTTCTTGCTTTTTAGGTATGACTACTAGAAAATGTTCTACATACCATATGTGGCTTGCATTACATTTCTAGTGGACAGTGCTGATTTACAAGGTACATCTAAGCTCTGTTAGAATGTAAAAACTGGCAATAAATACACAAGTAAATATAGTAAGTAAAACTTGATCATAACACATCACAGATGTTTTTTCCTCCAAAAGTTTTGAGGAACTGATAAAGTGTTTTATTGTTCTTTATCTATCTTAGGGTTACTTGATCATTAGACTCTCTAGTGCCAGGGAAGTCTATAATTGTAGTTTATGAACTTATTCCTAAGATTTGTTTTCATGAAAATGTAAAAATGGGAAACTTCCTAGTCTTCCTTTCATATATATTACCTTCCATCTCCAACTTTAAAGCAAATTTTCATGTCATAATATTTTGTTCTATAGGTTGGCTTGAATTGAATTGTGCTAGGGCTTCTCTATACCTGTGTATACTTCTTCTTCTTTTGGGTACTGGGCATCAAACTCATGACCTTGTGCTTGTGAGATGAGGCAGGTGTGGTGCCATTGAGCTAAATCCCTGGCCCATGTGCATACTTCTTAATTATGTAGAAATTTTAAAACCACCAACTGGTAAATAAGGTTGAAAGGGTAAAAAACAAAAAACAGAACAAAGCCAGAGTATGGAATACCTTCAATGCCAGGTTAAGAATCTGCTCCTTTTCATTTTCTTTATTTGTAGGGAGACATTAGTTATTAAAAAATGGAAAGGACATAGTCATAATTGTACTTTATTAAGATTCATATGATACTGTCAAAAAAGGAGGCAGCACTACAGTTGAGATAGATGTCTCTTTCTTTTATTTTTTTATTTTTTTGACACAGTGTCTCACTGTGGAGTTCAGGCTGGTCTTGAACTTGTTTGTAGTCCAGGCTAGCCTAGAACTCACAGCAATCCTCCTGCCTCAGCCTCCCAAGTGCTGGGATTACAGGCCTGTGTCACCGGACCTGGGTAGGTCTCTAAATTTAAAAAACATTATATACTTAATAGTTGGAAAATCAAATATGTTTCTCTTTCTCGTATTAAGCCCTCTACTGTTTTCTTTCTAGGACTCGGCAGCATTGTCCATCATTTGTGTGAGTGCTTCTGCATTACTCCCTGTAGGTCAGTCAGTCTTGACCTTCTGTTTAAATTTCTTCTAAATATCTTTTATACCAATTATATCTCATCTAGGCACTGGGGGTAACTATTTAGTCTCAGTTTTGTCTTCCTTTCAGCCATTCTCCACATAGCATCTATGGAAATTTCTTATTTTAAAGAATTTATTTGAACTTAGGTTATAAATAGAAGAGGGATGGAAATGTAGCTAAAAGTCTGCAATGCTTATGATGCTTGTATCAGCTAAATATAAGCTTTTTTTTGGAAGTAGTAGACAATAATTTGTTGGAGTACATTCTTTCTGTTTCTAAAAATGAATGCACTTGTTTTGATTTTATAAAAGCTTTGAGAAATAATGAAAGAATAGTTTTGTATAGTCTGTCTGAACTTCCTAACGAGACACTGGCACTAAAGTAGCTAATCATCAGAGAAAGTAGGATATGACCATTCATCACTACCTTCATTATTACTGCCTTAGCCTGCTATCTCTCACCTGGACTATGTATACAATACTGTGTGGCAAAAAAATACTCTGGGGTGTAGCTCTGACCTAAATGGAAATGACGTCAATGTTAACTGAATCTCCTGATAGTATTTGATAGAGAAAGATTTCATGTATTTCCAAGATGTTAAAGAACAAGAGGGACTTTCAGCTTCTGAAAATGACAGAGTAGCTCGTATTGTACAGATCTTGCTATTATTAACAGTGTTAAACTCTGGACAATAAGATTCTTAAAACACACTGGAAAGAAATCAAAAGCATGCAAATGCCAAACAGGACATAATTCCTTTCTCTTTTTAGCAGGGCTGCAGATTGAACCCAGGGTCTTGTGTATGCTGAGCATGTACTCTGCTCGGCCCAGGAAGATATACTTCTTGAAAGAAGTGGTAAATGCTGGATAAGATCACATACACTCGTTTTTTTTTTTTTTTTTTTTTTTCCCTTTTTCCACACTCTAACTTTGTGGGGGCGTGGAAAAAAGTTCAGAGGTTCAAGTATTTTTTTCCTCATTGAGTTTATTGGTACATTTTAGGTATACAGTACAGTTACATTCACCATTGGGATCTTGTACCTTTACGAGACAGGTCTTCGTTCTCATTTTTCCCAAAACCCCTGCCCTCCCTTCACACCCCTTCCCCACTTACAAAAACTATTTCCATTTATTCATTTTCTCATTTTTTTCTTTTCCCTTATTTCCTTTCCCCTACCCTTCCCACTTCCCCCACACCTTTAGGCCTTTTCTTCCTATTATACATTGTCAATTATACCATTAGGATCCTATTTACAATTATAGTTATTCACATCAGAGAATTTACACATATTTACACGTGTGACTTATTTATTTCACTTAAGAGTATAACCTCAATATGCATAGGAAAAGACTTTATGAACAAATACTCAGTAGGATGAGAACTAGCACAAAGAATCAATAACTGGGATCTCATCTTATTAAAAAGCTTCTGCACTGCAAAAGAAACCATTAACCTACAATGTGGGGAAAAAAATTTACCAGCTGCTCCTCAGACAAAGGACTACTATCTAGAATATATAAAGAACTCAAAACAATCAGCACCCCCCCAAAATATAAAGACCCAATTCAAAAATGGGCATCTGAAATGAACAGACATTTCTCAGACAAAGAAGTAAAAGCATCAAGTAAAAATATTAAAAAATGTTTGACATCACTGGTCATTTGAGCGATGCAGATGATAAACAACACTGAGAATTCACCTCACCCCAGAAAGAATGGCTGCTATCAAAAAATCAATGAACAACAAATGTTGGTGGGGTTATGGGGAGAAAGGAATCCTTCTCCATTGTTGTTGGGAGTGTAGACTGGTGTAACCACTATGGAAATCAATATGGAGATTCCTCAAAGAACTAGGATTAGAGGTTCCATTTTACCCAGTCATCCCTCTGCTGGGTATCTTTCCAAAAGAATGAGAAGAATCATACCACAGTGATATATGCACACCCATGTTTATAGCGGCACAGTTGTAATAGCTAAAACTTGAAAACAACCCATTTGCCCATCAATTGGAAACTAGATAAAGATGTGTTTTTTTTCTATAAAATGGAATACTACTCAGCCATAAAGAACGATAAATTAGAGTCATTTATAGGAAAATGGATGCATATTGAGGTTATACTCTTAAGTGAAATCAAAGGTTGAAGTTTGAGGATGTTAGAAAAACTGCGAATTGAAAGGCAGGGACCTAGAAAAAAGGAGTCACAGGGAGGAGAAGAGGATCAAAAATCTCTAGATAATTTCTGCAAATCTTGGCTGACACTAGCTTCTCATGCATGGAAGATATAGTAGGCAGCAACAGTTTAAAAAAACTGGAAAAGCTGAAGTGATATTTCAAGAGCTATGTGAACTTAAATATTTCCAGTTTATAGAAACAGAATGAAAAATTTTGGCATTCCACTAAACCACAGAAAAGCCACATCATAGAAGTAAAATCTTTACCCAAGAATAAGGCCTGTGCCCTGGACCTAAAGGCAAAAACAATCAAATCAATATTAAAAGAAAAAAAGAAAAGGAAAAAATAAAATTAAACAAAACAAAAATGGAAAAAATAGGGGAGCAGAAATCAAACAAAACAGAAAAATAGAGAAAAAAATCCAAATATTTTTCTTTGAAAGTATTTATAAAATTTCTGGTAGATTTATTAAAGGAAGGAGAAATAAAACTATCCTTTTGGATGTAAAGAGAACATAAGAATACATCTTCTACAGGTAAGTAATAAGGTAGAGAGGGAATATTATAAACAATTTCAACCCAATAACAAATTAAGTGTCTATATCGGCCCAATTGTTAACTACTTATATAGAGAATTATGGGCTGGGGATCTAGCTCAGTGGTTCTGCTGCCTGCCTCACAAACTCAAGGGTCCTGAGTTCAATCCCCAGTACCAAAAAAAGAGAGAATTATGATTTATTTTTCAAAAAATTGTAACCTACAACCTTGCTAAATTAAATAGGATGTTTTAAGCAAATAAAGGAAGTTTTTGTCTTTTCCAGTCTGGATCCCTTTTATTTCCCAGCTCCACCCTCAGCCCCTTATTGCACTGCCTAGAATCCCCTTCAGTGTTGAATTAGAGGCAATGAGAATAGACATTCTTGCTTGTTCCTGACCTTAGAGGGAAATCACTCAGTTGTTCAATATTATGTATGTTATTATTTATAAGTTGTACTTTGTGAATTGCCTTTTTAAAAATTTTTGAGGTGGTTTGTTTTTTGTTTATCTGTTAATACAGTGAATTACATTGAATTTTTCAATATTAGGTCAATTTTGTATTTCTTGAGTAAATCTCAGTTATGAAGTACTATAATATATACAATGTATATTTATATGGTTTTGATATGGTCAAATTTTATTAACTTTTTGGATCTATGTTCAGGGAAAATATTGGGCTGTTGTTTCTTTTCTTACAATACCTTTATCTGGCTTTGATATTGGGATAGCTCTGGAATTAAATGAATTGGCAAGTGTTCCTTTCTCTTGAAATTATTTTTGGAAGAAGTTTATCATATTGGTATTATTTATTCCTTAAATGTTTGGTAGATTTCACTAGTGAAGACTTTTGTGCTTGGAGTTTTATGGTGGGGAAGATTTTAATTACAAATTTAATACTTATAATAGATACATGGCTATTCTAGTTATTTGTGTTTTTTTAAGTGAACTTTTTAAGAGCTCCCAAGGCAAATGAAATGTCATTTTCATCTAAGTTCTCTAAGTTCCTGAGTTAAATTGTTCTAAATATTTCCTTCTTATTCTTTTAACAATTTTAATGTGGTAGCATGTGGCAAGGTGTTCTTCTTAAGGGTACATCATAACATTCCACTGTATATATATATATTTTTTATTTATTCATTCATGTAATGAAGGATATTTGGGCTGCTTCCATCTGTTGGCTATTGCGAATAATGCTGTGATAAAGAAGTTGTACAATTAAAATAGAAACATTAAACTTGCTGGAAGGTAAGTTAGGCAGAACTCTAGAAGACATTGGCATAGGAAAAGACTTTATGAACGAATCCTCAGTAGCATGGGAACTAGCAGATAGAATCAACAACTAGGATCTCATCTTATTAAAAAGCTTCTGTACTTCAAAAGAAACCATCAACAGAACTAAGAGACAACCTACGATGTGGGAAAAATTTTTTACCAGCTGTTCCTCAGACAAAGGACTATTATCAAGAATATATAAAGAACTCAAAACAACCAGCCCCCCCAAAATATAAAGACCCCATTCAAAAATGGGCATCTGAAATGAACAGACATTTCTCAGACAAAGAAGTAAAAGCACCAAGTAAATATATGAAAAAATGTTCCACAGCACTGATCATTCCAGAGATGCAGATGAAAACAACACTGAGATTCCACCTCACCCCACAAAGAATGTCTGCTATCAAGAAATTACACAATAACAAATGTTGGCGGGGTTGTGGGGAGAAAGGAACCCTTCTCCATTGTTGGTGGAAGTGCACACTGGTGCAACCATTATGGAAATCAATATGGAGATACCTCAAAGAGCTCGGACTGGAGGTTCCATTTGACCTAGCCATCCCTCTGCTGGGTATCTTTCCAAAAGAACTAAAAGAATCATATCACAGAGAAGTATGCGCACCCATGTTTATAGTGGCACAGTTTGTAATAGCTAAAACTTGGAAACAGCCTATTTCCCTATCAGTTGGAAACTGGATAAAGAAGATGTGGTTTTTCTATAAAATGGAATATTACTCAGCCATAAAGAATGAGAAAATAGATTCATTCATAGGAAAATGGATACATATTGAAGATATACTCCTAAGTGAAATAAATAAGGCACACATGTGTAAATACCGAATAGTTTCTCTGGTGTGAATAAACTGCAATAATACATAAGATCCTAATAAGATTACTGACATTGAGAAATGGGAAGAAAGGAGCTAAAGGTGTAGGGAAGGTGGGATGGGTAGGTGAAGGGTAATAAGGGAAAAGAAAAAAATGTGAGATAATGAAAAGATGGAAATAAAGTGGTTGTAGATGGGGAGGAGAGGAGGGGGTGAAGGGAGGGCAGGGGTAAGGGGAAAAAATGAGAATCAAGTCCTGTCATGTAGAGGTACAAGATCCCAACAATGAATGTAACTGTACTGCATCCCTAAAATGTACCAATAAACTCAATTAAAGCTGGAAAAAAAAAAGAAGTTGTAAAAATGTCTCTTCAACATCCTGCTTTGAATTCTTTTGGAAATATACTCAGAAGTGAGATTGCTGGATCATGTGGTATTTCTAATTTTTAACAAGACACCATTCTCTTTTCCATAATGGTGGCACTATTCTACAGTCCTAGAAATACTGCAAAAAGTTTCAACTTGTTTGCATCTTCTCCAATACTTGTCATTCTTTATTCTTTTGATAGTGGCCATCCTGATGGATCCAAGGTGAGAACTCTGTGCTTTTGATTTGTGTTTTTCTAATTATTAGTGATGCTAGTGATGTGCTCATTGCCTGTTGGTATATCTTCTCTGGAAAAACACTTATTAAGTCCTTTGCCTATATATATATATAATTTTAGTCAGGTTCTTTTCATTTGTTGATGTATATAAATTCTTTATATATTCCAGATACTAACTAAAAATGATGCATATAATTTGAAATTACTTTCTAAAATCCTTTGTGTTGCTTTTCAGTTCTTTCTTTTAAAGCATAAAAATTTTAAATCTTAGTCCTTTTTTTTGGCACCAGGAATCAAACTCAGGGCCTTGTGCTTGCCAGGAAGGGGCTATGCCACTGTCCTATTTATTTGTTTAATTATATATTTTGTTCTTTTTTGTTTTGTTTTGTACCAGGGATTGAGCGCGAGTCCCTGTGCTTGTGAGGCAGGCATGACACCACTGAGCTAAATCCCTGGCCCATTATTCATTAATTTTATTGGTACATTTTAGATATATAACATGATGACATTCATTATTGGGAATTTGTACCATTACATAATATATCTTGGTTCTTATTTTTTCCCCATTCCCCTGCTCTCCCTTCATCCCCTCCACTCTTCCTTATTTACAAAGATTTTGTTTCCATTTTTTCCTTTTCTCATATTTATTCCTTTCCCCTATACCTCCCATTTCCCCTTCCCCTTTGGACCTTTTCTTATTTCACATTAGCTATTATACATTTTGATCTTTATTTAAACTTTCAGTGTGTCACACCAGAGAAACTATTCAGTATTTACACACATGTCCTATTTATTTCACTTGAGTATGACTTCAATGTGCATCCATTTAGCTATAAATGTCTCTAGTTTCTCATGCTTTATGGCTGAGTAGTACTCTTTATATAAAAAAGCCAAAGAAAACCATGTTTTCTTTATCCATTCTCCAGTTGATGGGCTGTTGGGCTGTTTCCAAGTTTTAGCTATTACAAACTGTGCTGCTAGGAACATGGGTTCACATATATTGCTGTTGTATGATTCTTTTAATTTTTTGGGGAAGATACCAAGCAGAGAAATAGCTGGGTCAAATGGAACCTCTAATCCTAGTTCTTTGAGGTATCTCCATACTGATTTCCACAGTGATTGCACCGGATTACACTCCCACCAATAGTGGAGAAGGGTTCCTTTCCCCTCCATATCTTCACCAGCATTTGTTACTGGTTGATTTCATGATAGCAGCCATCCTTTCTGGGATGAGGTGAAATATCAGTGTTTTAATTTACATTTCTTGAATGACCAGTGATGTTGAACATTTTTTACATGTTTATTTGGTATTTCTACTTCTCTTTCTGAGAAATGTGTGTTCATTTCAGGTGCCCATTTTTTGATTGTTTCCCATTTATTTTTGATTGTGCTGTCTACACTTTGGTGTCATATCTGAAAAATCATTAACAAATCAAATGTCCTGAAGATTTCCCCTTGTGTTTCTTGTAGTACTTTTGGTTCTTGTATGTTTACTCCATTTTGATTTACTTATTTTAAATATATGACTTAAGGTAACGGCCCAAATTCATTCTTTCACATATAAATATCTAGTTTTCCAACCTAATTTGCTGAAGAGATTATCCTTTTATTTCCTCGCTCTACCCCAGCCCCTTATTTCATTGGCTAGTTTTAACACCCTTGTTAAAAATCATATGACAATTAACATAAGGATTTAGTTCTGGGATCACTAATCTGTTGTTTTATGAAGTTCCTGTCTACCTTCTGGATATTAATCTGTCAGATGAATACTTTGCAATTTTTCCCCCCCATTCTGCAGGTTGTCCACTTTTTGTTTCCTTTACTGTGGAGTACCTTTTAGTTTGATGTAATCCCATTTGTCAATTTTTGCCTTTGTCACCTGTGATTTTGAGGTCTTATCCAAAAAAAATCTTTGTCCATTATCAGTGTCCTAGTGTTCCCCCTGTGCTTTCTTCTAGTAGTTTCAGGGCTTCTGGTCACTAATTCACTTTGAATTGATTTTTGTATATGTTGGAAAATAGGGACTTATTGTCGTTTTTCTGTTTATGGATATCCAGTTTTCCCAACACCTTTTACTGATGAAACTGTCCTTTCTCTATTATATAATTTTGGTACTTTTGTCAAAAAATTGGTTGGCTATAAATAGTGGCTTTATTTTAGGGATCTCTTGTGTATATACAGTGATCTGTTTTTCTGTTTTATGTATTACTATGTTATGTAGTATATTTTGAAGTTGTGTAGCATGGTTCCTCCAGCTTTTTTTAGCTCTTGCTACTTTGACTATGTAAAGATTTTTTTCTTTCATACACATTTTAAGGTTTAAAAAAGTTCTATAAAGAATGTCCTTAGTATTTTGGTAGATTATATTGAGTTTGTAAATCACTTTGCATAATGTGGACATTTAACGGTGTTGTCTCTATTTGGTGATCTTCAATTTTTCTCATCTTTTTTAAAAAATAATTTCATTGTAGATGTCTTTCACCTTGGTTAAATGTATCACTAGACATTTTGGTAGCAACTGTAAATGAGATTGCTCTCTTGTTTCCTTTTTGAGTTAGATCACTATTGGTATATAAAGAGACTATTGATTTTTCTATGTTGATTTTGTATCCTGTACATATAAAGAATTTATTTGTATCAACAGTTTTTGATGGACATCTTCAGCTTTTTTAGTATATGATCCTATTTCTGGCAAACAAGGACAAATTATTTCCCACCCTTTCAATTTGTACACACTTTACTTTTTTCTTGTCCGATTGCTCTTGGAACAAAGATGCAAGCTTTTCTCCATTAACTATGATATGAACTGTGGCTTTCGCCATACATGGCTTTTTTTTTTTTCAACTTTTTTATACTGGTGACTGAACTCAGGGCTTTGTACTTGCAAGGCAGGTGGTGGAACTGGAGCTAAATCCCTGGCCTATGGCCTTTACTTTGTTGAAGTATGTCCCTTTTATATCTAATTTGTTCAGAGTTTATATCATTAAGAAAAGTTGAATTTTATCCAATAGCTTTTATTGAGATAATACAGTTTTGTGCTTTACTCAGTGGTTGTGGGGTATCATGTTTATTGATTTATGTACACCAAACTATCCTTACTTTCTTGGGATAAATCCCAGTTGATCATAGTGTATATAATCTTTTTGATGTGCTGTTGGTTTAGTCTGCCATATATCTTTATCTTTATAACCACACTATAAAGTGGTTATTAATATAAAAAAACACAGAGAGGTAAATGGTTACTTACACAAGATATGGTATTTGGTGTCTTCAAAATAGATACTGAATCAATATTGGATGAATAAATACACATTTATTCAAATGAAAATATACCTGTGAAATCATGTCCCTGTGCTTCTTTGTAATTTTCCCTATAAAAATGCCACACTGGTAACTACAGGCTAGGAAAGGCTCATGATGTTTGGTATGTAGTAACAGCAACAATCACAGTAATTGTGATAGCTTCTATGGTCTGTGCCTCCACAAAATTCTTACTTTGAATTCATAACCCTTAAAGTGATGGTAATAAGATGTAGGGCCACTGGGAGATAATTAGGTCAAGAGGGCAAAGTCCTCATGAATGAGATTATTTCCTCTGAGAATTCTTTTGCACCTTCCACCATATAGCATATAATAAAAAGACACTTCTATGACTCAGAAATCAGGCCCTCAAGAGACATCAGATTTGCAGATGTCTTGATCTTGGGCTTCTCAGCCTCTAGAACTGTGAACAATAAATTTACATTAAAAAAAAAAATCTTGTAAGTCTATGGTTCTTTTTTGGTACCAGGGATCAAACTCAAGACCTTGTGCTTGCTTACAAAGGCAGGTGGTGGAACCACTGAGCTAAATCCCTGGCTCAAGTCTATGGTGTTTTGTTCGGCAGCCCAAATGCACTAAGCAGCTAACACACAGTCTTCCTATGATTTTAACACTCTGGATTTGTATATTTAACTAATTCAATTCTTAGAACACAATGAGGTAATTTTTAATACTCATTTTACAGATGAGGAAGATGAGGTGCCAGAGAGGTAAAAGGTTTTTCAGTCATCTTTTGGTAAGTAGTGAAACAGGACTTGAACCGTCAGTGTTCCAGGCTATACCTTTCTCATATGCAGTTTTGCCTTTAGAACCTTGCTTTCTTCACTACTGTTCAATTAGTTTTACTTCTGGGCTTGAGTCCAGAAGACCAAGGTTTCCCTGATTTTTTCTTTTACAGTTCCAATAGTCACTTGGGCAAGTACTGCTTTCCAAAGCCAAGGAAAAAATATCAAGTCTTTTGCCACTTTTTGAAAATGACACAAAGATAATTTGTAGTCACTAAGGCAGAAATCAGCTTTCAGATGGCAGTAAAGGTAAACAAAGGTCAACCTTACTGTATTTCTTAGATTACACGTTTTTATTTTGCCCCTTATATGTGGCTAAGACAAGAAGGAGCAGTTCTGTAAACTGTATTTCCTAAGCGAACTAAGATAAATGTGTAACTCAGAAACATCTCAGCAGACTCCAAGGAAATGTGTTTTGAAATCTTTTAGAATTTAATCTTCTTGAAGGCAGGAACTGAGTTTTTATACCTTTGGTGCTTATCTTATTACATAGAAAATACATATGCAATAAATGCTCTTTAAACTGCACAGTGAAGACAATTTGTAAACAATAAGAAACTAGTTAGTATACACAGTTCAGAGTAGAGTAATGGGCTGTGTTTCCTTATTCTGCTTTCTTGTGAGCTTCCACCTCTCTCAGAAGTAACATCACGTTACTTTTCCCATAACTTTTCCTTCTAAGTACTTAATAGCCACATCCTCAGAACCCTCAAATCATGTGTTTATCTCTCAAACCCTCTGATATTATATGTTAACATTTTGTATTCCTCTTCTAACTGAGAATTGTTTCCAGGTAAGGACCATTTCTCATTACATGTAATACAGTGCTTGAAACATAGCAGGTATGAAGTAAATGTTTCATGAATGAATGTATGACTGCACAGATCAGTCCTGAGGTCCTAACCCCATTTTTACATACAATGAGGAAAGAAAGATGAAACTTACATTTGCCTAGCATTTGTATTTACTGATTTACTAAATATTTATTATTTGCTATAGAACATGCAAAAGGACAAATAGTTCTTAACTCTTTCAGCAATGCCTGAATCTTCATTATATAAAATATATACTGCTGAGTTAGCACCCATTCTTTAATCTTCATGTGCAGTTTTATCACAGTTTTTTTTAAATATTGCATAGTGCTGTAGACCACTAAGCACTCCAGATGCTGCCACAAACACTACTGGAACTAGCACTCTTTTTATGTTGTTGTGACAAAGCAAGAACCAATGAAGTAAAACCCTTCCTTTCTGTGGTAGTGGAACTGTATGATACCTAAAAATGAAAGAAAAAGAGTTAATCATTCTCCTGGATATACACTCTATTAAAAGTTCACTGTTTTCTCCTAAACTGATGATTGAAATTTCTATCATAAATCTATTATGTAGATAGTGAAAGATTAAATGTTAGCTATGTGGAAAAGCAAATGACTATTTTTATATTTGACTATATCATAGATATCCAAAGAATAAAAAGTTTATTAGCTTAAAAATAAGAAGGAATGCTAAAAGAAAGGAAAAAAAGAATAAACAGAGAGACTTACTTGACTGCCAGGCGTCCATTTTTAGAAAAAGCCAAAGCACTGGGATATACAACACCACATATTAGGCCAACCAGTGAACTTCTCAGAACACAATTTTCCTTGCTTATATTACCTAGAAAACAAAAATAAAATTTGGCTCCCTTTAAAATTACAATAACAAGAACTATTAAGACAATGTTGTATCTCAAAGAGTACTGTCTTCAACCACAGTGCAACAGAAAGAATATTAGAAATTCAGGGTCTATGGTACATAACAGGCTTAATACATCTTTTGTCAAAATGCTTTTATTATACTTTACCATAGTAATAATTATCTCTTATTTATGTGCTTGTTGTAGAAGCAATTCTGCAATAATACTAAACTAGCTGGCTACACACCTGAATTCTAGGTTAATACATGTATTGGCTATTATGTGTCAGGTATGCGTTAGGGATCTAGCATAGAGACCTTCTGGCCAGTATACCAGGGAAGAACGGCATTAGACAAATATTTTTAAAAATTTTAAGTATGCATATTGGAGGTAGTCTACAAAGAATGTATCTAGATACTTAACCAACTATGAGGGAATTAGACAATGTTTTTTTTTTTTTTTTTTTTTTTTTT